TTTTTTTTTTTTTGAAGATACAACACCTGAATACCCGATTCAGTTACACGCATAAAATTGCGGTTTTTAGATGTTCAGGACTTCGCAATATAGGGTGGAACTGTGTAATATGCCTTCCATTTTTACCCCAGTAACACTGGATCATAACTGCTAGTGTCTTATATTTAAACATGATAGAATATGCTTTATACTTTCAATGATAGCTAAACCAAATTAGGCATTTTCAGTTAATTCTGATTTATTATTATTTTTTTTTAACGTCAGAACATAATCCACAATTTTTAATTCCGTTGTATTGAATTCTCGCTTAGTGAATCTTCCATTTCTAATTGTTTCTTTCTGCCCATTGTACTTAAGTTGATAAACTTGTATTTTTTAAATATAATGTCAATTAGCCTACTTTTGGATCTTTCATTTAAAGCCCTTTACGTTACAAAAATCATTTTTTATAAAAGTCCATTTGTTTTAAATTTTTACGTTAAAAATTCAGTTTCAATATCTCATTAAAGGCGAAGAGCCTTTACTGATCAAAGCAATACAGATTTCATAATTATCTGACACGAAAAGAGGTGAATCGGGACTTGAATGTCGTTACAGAAAAAAAAAAAAAACACCAAAAAAACTACGAAGAAATCGATACAAATCTTTTTTAAAGGCTTATCGATTACTTAATGTTAAAAACATCAGATGTATCAATAAAAATATCGATACTTTTTTTTAAATTGCAAGTCACAGACCTTGTATCCATGCGACCCACATCCTGACATTGACTCAGTTTATTGGATTAACTCTGGAAGAGGATAAAATCTAAATTAAGTTTCTGTCTTTCGAGCGTTACGGGTGGCCAACCAAGCGTGGGTCAGTTTTGTAGTCTATTTCCACAATCGCTATTTAAGTGTCCAGCTATGACGTGTCATTTTCTAAATACTTTTTATGCTTTAATATTTAAAATGTTACTTATCTTATGTTACCTCTTCTTCTTCTTCTTCTATATATTAAGGGTCCACGATCAATTTATTGATCATTTTGGCTCCTGTGCATGTAGAGGGGATTTTCAATGCTTCTATGCCTGGTGTTGATGAGGGTATTTCACTGATTGCATAGTTACTTTGTGAGGGAATCATGCACGGGGGGCTGAAAGGCTTGAGGCAATATTCGCAAATGTGTGTAGTGTTGTCGCCTCCACTATTCCTTTTGAAAACTTGTTCCAGTCCCCGACAGTCTTTGGCAGGAATGAGCAGTTCCTCTTATATTAAATGTCCATTTTGTATTTAATTCTTCCCCCCTCCCCCCATAGCCAACACCATATAGAATCTAATACCATTACCAATCAAATAATCTCAAATTAAACCCATTGATGATTTATCCATTTCAATTTGCTCTGTCAGTTTCGTAATCTTTATTTTATTTAAATTCATTACTGTGTTGTAACTGAACAAGTTAACCGCTATAAAAATAACTGGGGGAAAAAAATTATAAAGTAAAACAAAGTCAAATAATAGAGGTAAAAAATAAATGTACTGGTTATTTGTTAATCCTCAGTGAAAAATGTCCAGTTGGCTAGACCAATTCATCTTCATGTAAAAAGAAAAAAAAAAAAATAAAGCCCCACAACGTAGCATGTGCTAAGCTCGTCAATACTTTATCGATCTCCGAATTCCTCAGTAACAACCAGAAGTGTAGGATTGTTAGTTATCCCGCGTTTCTGTTGTTGTACTAGGGCTAACTAGGGCTTGTTGCTAAGGTCAGACCAGATTCTGTTGATGTACACGGGCATGTTGCTAGGGTCAGACCAGGTTCTGCTGATGGTTGATGATGTCATGTGCACCAAGCAAGCACGAGAAATCTGGATCGGGGGTGGGGGTGTGGTGTGAAATATGTTGTAGATACACAAATGGATCTTGTGTAAGGAAAATGACAACGGCTACTTCAAGCAAGTGAATGACTAAACCCTTCAAGTTAAGCTAAATAATGAAGGTTACGACCAAGCACTATGTTTTTTAGAAATAGGGACACGCCAACTCAATACAGAAGAAAATTACTCTTTGACAATGACACATCGGAAAATTCAAATAATAGGCCTACAATCAATAGGAGGCTTTGTAGTAATAAAACTATAATATTACCCCAAAAAAGCTCTAATATTTGGTAAAAATAGAAATGTTGCTTGTAACATAGAATATTTCTATTTCTTATACTAGACCATGTTTGTTTTTTCTTTGACTAGACGGTCCCAGACATGAGTTAACTATACCATTGCTGAGCAAACAACACGCGATTAATCAATATTTTTTGTGTGTGTATGTTTCAGGAGCTGGAGTTTTGGGGTCTGACGGAGCTGGACATCGAGCCCTGTTGTTGGGGTCACTACAACCGCTTCAAAGAGAACCGTGAGACCCTGGCCGCTATAGACGACAGTTTCACCTTTCAGTTAGACCAGGACGCCTTTGGGGAAAAGCCCTCCCCTTACCTGCAGTTTAAAAAGAAAGTCTGGGTTTTCTTAGAGGATCCTTCAGCCTCCAAAGAAGCGAAGGTGACAATCTAAGCCTTTTTAAAAAAATATTGGTTGCAGGCCACTAAATCGAAAATCATTTCACATGTTTCTTCTCTCGATGAAATGTTTCAATAAGGTGCATGTCAATGAGCCGTCCTTTAGCCATTTAATTATTTGTGACACATTTAAAATATCTATTTAACTATAGACATGCAGAATATCTATTGAACTATAGACACAGGTAACACATTTAGAATATCTATGTAATTATATCAACATATGATAAATACAAAAAAAACAATATTTTTAATTATATATACCTGTGGCCCATTTTAATATCTTTTTGTTGAAAGATACATAATTCATATTTAGAATATCTGGTTCTTTGAAGATACGGGTATACAATTTAGAATATCTATTTATTTAAAGATAAATTTGTAACTATCGATGGACCTATTTTAAGAATGGAACTGACATGTTTTTGGCTTAGCTAAGAATTCTGTGTGACTCTTATGGTTAATGGCACAAGAACTCAGTTTTGATAACTTTTGGATTACATTCCGTCATTGAATGGATTTCCCTTCAAGCATTTTCTTTGTATTACACTATGTTCCAATCATTACATTAATCCCATCTCGTCACAACTTGATCGTCCATAACTCTTCATTCCTCGAGGTATTACTGAAGCATCGATTCGATTAATCGATAATGGGCAAAAATCACATACATTCTTTGGTGTGTCTCTGGTTGGAAATGCGTTACAGTCTTAAGTGTGTCTCTGATTGGAAATGCACTTTATAATCTTCTATAGAAACAAACCAGCTTGGTAGATGTTTCTGTAATTGACCAGTCAGCATATTCGGGACACGAGTGTTAAGGTTAGCGTGTGGGTTGGAGGTTCGAAGAGAAGTTAAATAAATCGTCAGAGAGTGAGGGCTGAGGTGAAGGGTCATGGCATTAGGTAAGGTAACGTTATACGTGGCGTATTTCTAGACACTAGAGACCCACAGAGCCGTCTCTGCAGGTTGCCTAGGATATTGAAAGGGTCCAAAGTTTTGTGGTGGAATACATTAAACTATCAATTTTGAATGCATGGGGACTAAATCGAAAAGCGGGAAGGTGCCCATAAAAGGTCAAGAGATCGCTCTGGGAATCCTACATACTTTGCTTTGAAGCACCTGCTCAGTAATCTCTTAAATATTCCCCCTCAACATGTAAAACATTACATTTAGCCCCTATAATTCTCAAACAGTTGCGCAACATTCCAACCGATAATAATTAAAAATGATGCAGAAAATGGAGTCAAGCCTGTGTGCTAAATATAAATGGAGATGTAGTGAGCCGACTAACAAGATTTTTTTATTTGGTTTCAAGCATCACTTTAGCCATGAGAATATCAATATATTTTTTTTCCTCGGGAACATTTTCTAAAAATAATTTAAATCTTTCCAACAAAGCACTTTCTTTAATGATCTCCATAACTTTCACGAATTTATTCCCCAGATCTACGCCATCACGTCCATGTTTTTTGTCCTCCTCTCCATTGCCGTATTCGTCCTTGAAACGCACTACTGGTTCCGGATTCCGTTAGCGGGCGTCAACAGCACTTCAAGTTCCAGCGGCTCGACCGGCTCGTGCGCCACCACCTTCTCCTCGTCGGACACCTGCTGCTGCAGGTATAACACCAACGACGAGCTCAAGTACTCCGACTCCGAGCCGCACGACGCCATGACGTACTTGGATTACATCGGTGCGGGGTTCTTCACCATCGAGTACCTCAGCAGGATCTTCTTTTGTCCGAAGAAGCTCGAGTTTCTGAAACAGCCGCTGAACATCATCGACATCCTGTGTCTGCTTCCGCACTACGCGTCCATCATAATAAAGTCGGTGGATCCGACCGAGAAAAGCTCTCAGATCATAAAAACGGTCTTGGCCCTGAGAATAATTCGAGTGCTGAGGATCTTCAAACTGATGAAACACTACACGGCTTTCAAGATTCTGGTGTACACCATCAAAGTCAGCACCAAAGAACTACTTTTAATGGTTATTTTTTTATTCACCGGCGTGCTTTTATTCGCCAGTGTGATCTTTTACGCAGAGAACGTCACGTTCACGAACATACCCATCGGATTTTGGTGGGCGTTGGTCACCATGACAACAGTGGGGTACGGGGATAAGGTACCAAGGACCGAGGCCGGTTATTTGATTGGTTCGCTGTGTGTGCTCTGTGGCGTGCTGACCGTGGCTTTCACCGTCCCTATTGTAGTTAATAATTTTACTCTGTACTACTCCCACGCGCAGTCAAGGGTCAGACTTCCGCCTCCGAAACGCGAAGAGCTCCACAAGAAGTTAGTTCTGAAAAACCAAAAAGCTCAGGAGTTTATAAAAAAATTGACCCAGAACGTGAAGAAGTCAAAGACATTCAACTCGCTCAACACGCCAAGAACTACGGAGACCAAGGATGACAACCCATCGATAGACTCGGGTTTGGAAGAGTGCGTTTCTCCTGGTGCAAACGCCCACAGAAAGCTGGAGTCCATGGAGTCCACATCAACGATGTGCTCCATGTTGTCAGAGAAGCAGACTGTCTCGGACAGTCCGGCTGGGGCTTTGATCCACACGGTGTCTGCTGGCAACGCTATCCACACTGTGTCCGCTAGTGTTGCTGAGTTAGAGTTGGAGTTGCCGGGGACTCCACAGGGCAACTCCAGTGATCAGAGAAGGGTAATAGAGTTTTACTGTACAAATAATTTATCATCATATATCTAAGGATGCCATATATTTAATGAGCTCATTGAGTATAATAAGACAACTATCAGCTTAAGCCCTATGGGCACATATCATCTGATATTAAAAATAATCCCATAGTATTATATTAAAAGAGCATAACTGAACATAGTTTCCATTTCTTTTATGATCTGTGACCCGTTCATTTCTGTGGTATTCTCAATTTATTATGTTCAATTTTACACATATATACTACAGGATGTCACTCGGTGTTACCCGGGTTAGAACAGTGGAAATACAGCGCTAGATATATATTTTATTTTTAAGTTTTGGATATTATTATTCCAGTATTTCCTTAATTAACTTTCCCCATCGCCACAGGTTTCAATCAAAATAATAGCTGGTCCCAACTTTCAAAGCCTTCAGGCCGTATCTTCGGTAAATGATGGTAGATCTAATGGTAATTCAAGAGATTCTTAATTTTAATGTTCACATCGGTAACAATAAATGGTTTTAAGATATTGATGCCCTCGTAAAAATGCCCACCTTTCAGAGGAAGACTCTTAGCCGAAATGTTCTTCTCTTATTGTCATGTCTTCCTATTCAAGCTGGCACATACCTTGTTCTGCTATTTCCTTCACACAGTCTGAACGTAGTCCTTTATCTTTTTATAACTGTTTTTCACCTTTGTTAGGTCCGCCATTTGGAGACGGCCAATCTTTTGAGTGCCCTGGAGGACCATGAAGAGAAAGTGGAGTTCGAGCGTAAAAGACAGCTGGACTTAATGAACATGAGAATAGAGCAGAAGCGACAAGAGCGCCTCACGCCAAGATTTATAGGCTCCCCGGGGGGCAGCACCAAGCCGTTCAACATTGAAAGTGCCAGCTGCGATACCCCACCATTAACTAAACACGCGAAACTTGCTATCCAACCATTGCGTTCAACTGGTACCATCATGGTACGACCTGCCCATTCTTTGTTTCTGAAATTTGCTGGACGAAGATCAGAAAGATGATGGAACAAGCGGGACATTTTTTCACTTGAGAGTAGGTAAGAAAAGGGAATGGTTTTATTTTAATTAGGAAAATAAGATATATGCGTTAGTTAAGTCACCGGAAAGGGATTCTCAGTAAGAAATAGATAAGATACCATGAACTCATAATTCTAAGTATGAAATTGATAAGTTACCATGAACTCATAATTCTAAGGATGAAATTGATAAGATACCATGAACTCATAATTCTAAGGATGAAATAGATAAGATACCATGAATTCATAATTCTAAGGATGAAATTGATAAGATACCATGAACTCATAATTCTAAGGATGAAATTGATAAGATACCATGAACTCATAATTCTAAGGATGAAATAGATAATATACCATGAACTCATACTTCTAAGGATGAAATTGATAATATACCATGAACTCATAATTCTAAGTATGAAATAGATAAGATACCATGAATTCATAATTCTAAGGATGAAATTGATAAGATACCATGAACTCATAATTCTAAGGATGAAATTGATAAGATACCATGAACTCATAATTCTAAGGATGAAATAGATAATATACCATGAACTCATATTCTAAGGATGAAATTGATAATATACCATGAACTCATAATTCTAAGTATGAAATAGATAAGATGCCATGAACTCATAATTCTAAGTATGAAATAGTTACAATACCATGAACTCATAATTCTAAGTATGAAATAGATAAGATACCATGAACTCATAATTCTAAGTATGAAATAGATAAGATGCCATGAACTCATAATTCTAAGTATGAAATAGTTACAATACCATGAACTCATAATTCTAAGTATGAAATAGATAAGATACCATGAACTCATAATTCTAAGGATGAAATTGATAAGATACCATGAACTCATAATTCTAAGGATGAAATAGATAAGATACCATGAACTCATAATTCTAAGTATGAAATTGATAAGATACCATGAACTCATAATTCTAAGGATGAAATAGATAAGATATCATGATCTCATAATTCTAAGTATGAAATAGTTACAATACCATGAACTCATAATTCTAAGGATGAAATAGATAATATACCATGAACTCATACTTCTAAGGATGACATTGATAATATACCATGAACTCATAATTCTAAGGATGAAATAGATAATATACCATGAACTCATACTTCTAAGGATGAAATAGATAATATACCATGAACTTATAATTCTAAGGATGAAATTGATAAGATTCCATGAACTCGTAATTCTAAGTATGAAATAGATAAGATACCATGAACTCATAATTCTCAGTATGAAATAGATAATATACCATGAACTCATACTTCTAAGGATGAAATAGATAATATACCATGATCTCATACTTCTAAGGATGAAATATATATGATACCATGAACTCATAATTCTAAGGATGAAATTGATAATATACCATGAACTCATAATTCTAAGTATGAAATAGATAAGATGCCATGAACTCATAATTCTAAGTATGAAATAGTTACAATACCATGAACTCATAATTCTAAGTATGAAATAGATAAGATACCATGAACTCATAATTCTAAGTATGAAATAGATAAGATGCCATGAACTCATAATTCTAAGTATGAAATAGATAAGATACCATTAACTCATAATTCTAAGTATGAAATAGTTACAATACCATGAACTCATAATTCTAAGGATGAAATAGATAAGTTACCATGAACATACGTTTGTAAACATTTCAATTTATCATTTAATTTGGGTTGGGGTTGTTTTGTATTGCATTTGTATTGCAAGATCATTATCATATATTGTGGTGGGTTTGGTTGCTCTTGTGCTGAGGGCACATTATCATGGATTGGGATGGGGTTTTTTGCCTTTGTTTTGCAAGCACATTATCATTTATTCCTGTGTGATAATTTAGGAATTAATGTGGGTTTTGTTGTGTCGTCTTGGGAAAGGATAATCCCATGTCAAAATTTCCGACCAGCATTATGAACCTACTGCATATCTGCGCAGGTTTGTGCAGGTTTGTGCAGGTTTGTGCAGGTTTGTGCAGGTTGATGAGTTGGGGTTTGACGCTGTTATAAAGTAGGAAAGGCACGAAGGAAATTGTAAAATAATAAAATACAAAAAAACACTCGAAGGGAAAATTTAACAAACCAAATTAAAACAGAATGAAAAATCCTTATTAAATGAAAGTAACTTTGGCTTATAACATTGAAATTTCTGCCTCTTAAAACGAAAATAAAATGAGAACTGGTAGAAAACAACAAATAATGGATAGGAAAATAAAGAAGTACAAGAAGATTAGATGTAATGTAGAAATGGGGGGGGGGGGGGTTATTTGAACGAAAAATGTCCTGCCTAGATAGATTTAGATTCTCATTTAGTAGTTCAGGCTTAACGTAAGAGATGTAGTTTATAAACTCAGCCCTTCTGCACCTCCACCCTGAAACCACTGTGTATTCTTGCTGCTTTTTAAATTTACTTTTCGTATTTAGTTTCCCTGTAATGTCGCGTGCACTGGCAGCTGAAGAAACTCGTGCAGGCCCAGATTAACCTCACGGCGCTTGTTTGATATCAGTAGATTCGCCGGCATTTAACGGTATTAATTATTTACCCAATCGCCTTTGCTTTCTCGGTGTTGGGGGTGACCGACAGATCCGTGAGTAATAACTCCCAGCGATAGGGGGCCTCTGAGATTGGTCGAAGTGACGTCCTAACTTCACCACGTCGGCCATCGATTATCACCTGCAAAATGACCCAAACAATATTTTTCAAATAAAAAACAAAAAATCTTGTTTAAATCTCGATAAGGCCTGTTATAAACACAGGATTCCAATCCGTGCCATCTGGCCTCCGAAATCAAAATAACCAGATTACATTTGCCATGGCCTTGGAAACTTGTAAAAAGTCGTCTAGAACTGCAGGTTTCGTTATGATTCTATCGACTGACGTTGGGATAACGGCCAGTGGGAGGTTTCAAAAAGAAACTTTAAAAAAAAAATAAATTCAAACAATGAAAAATACAGGGGAAACGGAAGCGGACAGATACCGGTAATAAATGGGATGTTTCTACTGTTTGTAGCAAACGGAATCCATCTGATAGCTGATTAGGAATGTTTCTTTTGTCAGGCAGTGCAGCGAGTGATTTTAACGAGGCTGCTTAAATGAAAAAAATAAACCAACAGGTTAAGTAAGAAAAAACGGGATTATTAATCAAAGTCTTCAAAAAATGGATGGCTTTATTAAATCCCAGAATCTTGTTTGAAATTTATTTCATATTTAAAAAATAAATAAGTATCAAAACACATCAGTTAAAATTTGTTAAATTGAATTAAAAATGAGATCTAAGTCAATCTAAATGGTGCTATTTAAAAACAAAAGTCTTGTGAGATTTACTTTTAATTTAATAAAGCACTCTGCTTGAATTTAGAATTTTAGTTGCAAGCACACAGTCCAGAAAACCTAATGAAATTGATATTTTTGTCTGTTTTTAACCAATCCAATATTTGCATAAATGTGAATTTCGACCAAAAAAACAAAAAACAGACATATTGCTCTAAAGATATCAAATGTGTACATTGGATTACACATACAACAGCTACACTTTATGTCTATTTAAATGTTTAAAGAATGGGCATGCCCATTTAATGGGCATGGACATTTCATGGGCATGTACATTTAATGGGCATTTACGTATAATGTGCATTTACATTTAATGGGCATTTACATTTAATAGGCATTTACATTTAATGGGCATTTACATTTAATGGGCATTTACATTTAATAGGCATGTACATTTAATGGGCATACACATTTAATGGGCATTTACATTTAATGGGCATTTACATTTAATGGGCATGTACATTTAATGGGCATTTACATTTAAATGGCATTTACATTTAATGGGCATTTACATTTAATGGGCATGTACATTTAATGGGCATACACATTTAATGGGCATGTACATTTAATGTGCATGTACATTTAATGGGCATGTACATTTAATGGGCATGTACATTTAATGGGCATGTACATTTAATGGGCATATACATTTAATGGGCATGTACATTTAATGGGCATGTACATTTAATGGGCATGTACATCTACTGGGCATTTACATTTAATGGGCATTTACATTTAATTGGCATTTACATTTAATGTGCATTTACATTTAATGGGCATGTACTTTTAATGGGCATTTACATTTAAATGGCATGTACATTTAATGGGCATACACATTTAATGGGCATTTACATTTAATGGGCATTTACATTTAATGGGCATGTACATTTAATGGGCATGTACATTTAATGGGCATGTACATCTACTGGGCATTTACATTTAATGGGCATTTACATTTAATTGGCATTTACATTTAATGTGCATTTACATTTAATGGGCATGTACTTTTAATGGGCATTTACATTTAAATGGCATGTACATTTAATGGGCATACACATTTAATGGGCATTTACATTTAATGGGCATTTACATTTAATGGGCATGTACATTTAATGGGCATTTACATTTAAATGGCATTTACATTTAATGGGCATTTACATTTAATGGGCATGTACATTTAATGGGCATAAACATTTAATGGGCATTTACATTTAATGTGCATGTACATTTAATGGGCATATACATTTAATGGGCATGTACATTTAATGGACATGTACATTTAATGGGCATTTAAATTTAATGGGCATGTACATTTAATGGGCATGTACATCTACTGGGTATTTACATTTAATGGGCATTTACATTTAATTGGCATTTACATTTAATGTGCATTTACATTTAATGGGCATGCACTTTTAATGGGCATTTACATTTAATGGGCATACACATTATTTAAATGAAAAATTGACAATGAAAGGTCTTTTAATGACGTCAATGTGAGTGTTAAGATAAATCAGAATGGCAGTACAATTGAATTAGGAGGGACTGGTCGTAAAAAGCCTATCGTAAATATACGTACCGAGCTACTCCAATGACACAAGTCTATGGTAGGTTGTCTTTTTGAATTTGCCCCCGGTTGACAGAAATTATTATTAAAAAACGATTTAAAAAACTGAACTTAAAATCAAACCGAATCAAGTCCATTAATTATGTCAACACATTTTACGCAATTTTTTACCCCCAGCCCCACTTATCAACAACTGTCAAACTTTCGATGACCCCCCCCCCCCCCCCCCCCCCCGCTCCTTATTTATTTATGGCAACATTTTATACCCCCCTCCCCCCCGTTACAAAATGAATTATAATGTAAATAATTCTATAAATAAGTTTTAATACCACTAAAATGTAGGAAAACCATTTCATGACATGTTTAGCTTGTTAATCAACAAGTTAGAACGTTTATAAACTTACATTTTATAAAGCAGATTCAATGAAAAGTTTGTTGAAGACTAAATATCATTGTTTGTGAAAGTATAAATATGATTATTGTCAGTATAGCTGACAATTGTAGCATAGTTGCCAGGGGTGGACTGGGGAGGTCAAGCGGCCCGGGAACAAAATCAAAGCGGCCCGGGAACAAAACAAAAAAGCGGCCCTATCTTCATGACTTTTATTTTTATTATATCACCGGTCCTAGCGGCCCATCGGGAATCTTCCCGGTGTCCCGGCAGCCCAGTCCACCCCTGATAGTTTCTAGCTGCTATTATCTTCCCATGGAGTAGCCAGGTGTTGCAGTATCGCAACAATAGGCATCAGGGACATCATTTGGGTAGGGGAGAGGGGCATTTGCACACCCCCCCCCAATTTTGCTTGTTTTATTTAAATTGCTATGTACTCCGGTAATAAACAACTTAAGCCGACGAAGTTTTGATTTTTGCTCCCCACCCTTCCACTGAAAAAAAACCCTGAAATGACGCATCTGATGGGCATAGTCTATAGTAGCTGATTGATCATTTTCATCTTGCTAAACTGATATACCAGACAAGTCAGCAGCATACTTATCTAACCATGTCAGTGTGAGCAATAATTGCCATAAGCTCTCTCTGCCTTTGAGTTGGTATAGTTGTTATTGAACACAGATAGGTTGGTGTTTTTTTGTTAATTGAAAACCGTGTACAATGATGTGTTTATCATTCTAGGGAGCGGATTAAGAGAAAAATGACAGGTCAAGCGATGCCAACTTTTGACTTCTCTTGCACTAACAAAGTGTCCTAACATTCTGACCAGCCATCTGCAGTGCACACAGACAGACACACATTCAATAACTCTTATATTGTTAAAAGCCTAAACATATGTGATTATTTATACTCATTAAACTGTTTAAAATAATATAAGAACCAGTCAATTTTTAAGATTTAAATTTAAATAGAAACAAATATGATTGTTGACGTCAAATAATCTAAACCCCCCTCTCCCCCTGTCAACTACTGTCAAACATTTCCGCCCCCCCCCCCGGCCCGCCCTATTTTGTTGCCCCATATCAAAAAATAGAGACGCGATGTTTGTGTTACCATTCTACCAGGATTTGTAAATTGAAAGCATTTTAATGTTTGACCCAATGAAAAAAAATGTGGATTATTTTAAATCATGATTTGAAATGGCAACACAGAAAATTACTTTGAAATAAAAGCCTCAAGAATCGTTACTCTTTGAAGAACTTAAATGACATTTATGACTTCCTTCGAAAATCAAAGGGAGCTGATATCGCATGGCATATCTCAGACCATCCAATGGCTCGGTTGCGCTCATATCAATGTTCAGACTAGATGTTAGCTAGGTGGCGCTCTTATCAATGCTCTCTCCGTATTGATCAGTTGTCCAATAAATGTTTAGCCAAAACACTACATTTGTACTTGTCACTTACGTTCTTCCATGTTTTATTCTCCCCTTCTAGGTCATGTATCTGTATAGAGCTGCTTTGGTGATGGTTTCAGGTCCACAAGGTCACCACAACATCCCCAGGACATCCGTACTTTGTTGTGTAATTTTTTAATTTTTTTTTTGAAATGCTAAAAATTAATATACACTTTGACGCTACGTAAAAATAATCAATTTTTCCAGAGTTCAAACAGACGATCAAATTATGTATGATTTTTATGGTGGAATTGATCCAGTCCTTTCAAATTTGTGACCTGTTAAATATTTATGAGACACCATTATTGATTCCGATTGTCCAATATGTTAACTATAATTGTATTTTCTCTGATTGCATCCAGCAACTAATTATGCATACTAATTAATGAACACTATTGTTGTTGATTAAATCTTGACATACGTTTCATCCATGAAGCTGCTCTTCAATTAATATTTTATTAATGTTCTATTTTTTTTATTTGTGTGTTTTTTTTTTTTTTTTTTTTTTGGGGGGTGGGAGTGTTTTAGAGGGAGGTGGTAGGTGGGAGGAAATGACTACTGTCTCGGTCAATACGCTGTCAATTTATTTTATGAAACATAAGGGCAAGGTGTGGTCAACTTGAATTCATTGGCAGGACAAAGGATTGACGTTTCGCTAAGAGCCTTCATCAGAAAACAAGACAAAAAAAAAATAATAAGTATCACATCACAGTTAAAAAAACTAAAGAGATTTCCTTTTTGTTGCCGGAAGTAGGATTACAGGAAGTGAAAGAATATAAATATTGGTACTGTGAAAAATAAGGTACAGAATCTTAACGGACCAAATATTTAGGGATAGATGAAATCTTAGGAATAAGAAAAAAAAGAATAATTACAGGAAAATTGAGAAACATTAGTAAGAGAGTATTTGATTCATACCATGTGGAGATATGGTACCGAAAAGCTCAACAAGTTTTTTACCATTTTCCCTCTCTCTGGTGTGTCTGTGCATGAAATGAGTGCCGTAATGAATACATCCAATGGACCTTTATGTTGCCCTCCGTTGAACTGTGAAGATACTGGGGAAAGTTTACCTTGTTCAATATCCCTAAGATTTTCTGTGAAACTATCTGCCAATCTTCTCCCTGTTTCGCCTATATGATTAGAATGACATCTACGGCGCACAATCCCATATATCACATTCTGAGAAACGCATGTGAAACCCTCTTTGGTGGTAAAGGTACATTTCAAAAGGCGAATTTTTTTGTTTGGAGTGTATAGGGACACGTCCTACATCGGGTTGTCGAGCATGGTTTAGTCCCATTGTAAGAAGGGTCAGCTCGAAGGTGACTGTGAACGAGAAGGTCATTTAGATTTTTTTGCCGTCTGCTGACAATCAATTTTTTTTTTTTGGGGGGGGGGGGGGGGAATACCCTGTTCGTGTCGGGGTCAGAAAGAAGTATGCTACGAATTTTATGAATATTTTTTTGGCTGTCAAATTGAGAGGGTGATGGGGTAATAGGAGCTTGGTTTGATCTTCATAGTGTAGTTCATTTTCAAGAAAAAATCTCAAAGCTCTAAGACCGTCTGAATGTGGAATTGATGTGTATAAGGCGCAGACATCAAGTAAAAACAGTGAGTGTTGTGTATCAGGGGTAATATTTAGGGAATTCAATGTTATTAAAGAGTGGTTGGTATCTTTAATGTAAGTGGGTAAAGTGGTAACAAGGGGCTGAAAGACTCCATCTAGAAATTCTGAAATGTGTTCAGTGGGGCAAGCGCGGGCCAAGACAATAGGTTGTCCCGGGTTACCCACTTTGTGAGTCTTAGGCAGCAAATAGAAGGAAGGTTTGTCAAGGTCACTATTAAAAATGTGTAATGTAGAGGTCAATTTGGAAGTGTTGATTCGTTAATGAGTTTTTTCATTGTCTGATGTACAATTTCATTATTGTCAACAACAGGGTTATTCTTGATGGGCTTATAGAATCTGTTATCATTCAATCGTTCATTAGCTTCTTTAATGTATACGTTTTCGTCCCAAACTACGACAGCACCGCCCTTAACAGCACGTTTAATGACAATGTCGTTACGTTTACGTAACGTAGACAGCGCCTGAGATTCGTGTGTAGAGAGGTTGGAATAGCGGAGTTTAGGGAGGGAGGGAGATAGTTGAGATCATGGTTAGTACTACTGATGTAGAGATCTAAAGCCTTCGATTGATCCGAGGGTGGTTTCCGGATGGATTTGCGTTGTCTCTGAAAGGAGAACATTTCATCGTCCTGTTGTGTGCTCTCTCTACCATAAAAGAAATACTGTAGTGTCAAATATTCTAAATAGTGATGAGAGTCAGCCAGTAACTTATAGCGGTCAATGGAAGACTTGAGAGGAATACATTTGAGACCCTTAAAAAGGAGAGATTGTTCACAATCAGACAGAGGGAGATCTGGAGGTACGCAAATTACAAAACGTTTTCCATTTTCTGGCGTGCATGGAGTTTTGTTAGTTGTTGGTTTAAGTTCATTGAGTTTCTTCTTTTCGATGGTAGACAAGAGTGAGTATAAATCACGGCTGCGTTTGTGTATGATAAATTGATATCCATTTATTTTATTATGTTATTGTTAAAGGAGTATGCACATTCTGCAGTTCTGTGTCAACTCACAACGAGGAAATTTAAATCGAGAACCAAAGTCAAAAGTTTACACTGCACATCTGCTATTTAAGGCTCTTTAAAACAGTCAATCTTAGTCTGCTCCACAACGGTCCAGTTAAATCACAGGAGGGACGAGCATATTAACAATGTATGTAACCAAGCAAACAAGACCCTAGGGTTCTTAAGGCGAAATCTAAAGATTGGCAACTCCTGTGTGAAAGAAAGAGCATATAAAGCCTTTATCCGTCCGATTTTAGATTATGCATCTTCAGTCTGGGACCCATTTACCCAGAAGAGCATTGACAGGTTGGAGGCGGTCCAGCGACG